CTGCAATATATGCTAAACTGTCCAATTCATTCTGAAGGTTTTCTAGGCTCTGCAGTTTTGTTGAATATTCTAGAACAAGGCTTTTCAATTGGTGGTACGCTTACCACTTGTAGTACTTTGCCACTTGGCAGGTGGTACGCAACTGCTAGCTAAGTGTAGCAGGGGAGGGGAATGAGCCTAAGCGAGCCAAGCCTGAGGGAGAAGCAGCTGCATCTGCAGGACTGTCTGGGCTGGCAGAAGCCCCAGGAGCCAGCAGGGCTCCAGCTGATTGCCTCCAGCTGATTGGCACTTCCGGAAGCAGCTCTGAGCTGGAGATGAACTGAAGAAAAAGGGATGGGGAAGAGAGGAGAGGCTAAGGAGGTGGTTTGGGTGGGGGAAGGGAAAAAAGACAACAGGAAAGGTTTAATCCCTTTAAATAAATGAAATTAGTTTTACCCCTTTTAATTGAGTCTGTCTGGCTTTTAGAAAGTTTTCTTTGAAGGTAAACAGGCTTAATTTAAAGCTAAAGCTTTTCGCAACTGCCAGAGCCTTTCAGTCTAAAATTGCAACATTGTGACATATGACATCCCTGAGGCAGCTTAAAGAGAAAAAAAGAGGAGTTTGTGTTTCTTGCTTTGCACTTGATTCCTGTGTACAGGGAAGAGATTGGGGGTGCATTCTTACTACACTGTGGAAGAGCTCAGAAGGGAGAGAGGAAGAAGGGCCGATCAGCTAGCTCAGGAGTCTACAAGCTTAGCAACTTTAAGACCTGTGGACTTCAACTCTCAGGATTCCTCAACCAGCCATGAGGCTGAGGAATTCTGGGAGTTGAAGTTCACAAGTCTTAAAAATGCCAAGTTTGAAGACCCCTGAACTAGCTGGCAGTGGTGCATATTAATAAACATGGATAAATTATCATACATTTGTCAGTGCAAAGGGAAAGTGATTCAGCAAAGGAACAGCCAGCAAAGAAATTAAAACTGGTACTTTTTTCTTTTTTTCTACAGTTTGTAATATTTTATTATAGAATAAAATACAAAAATACAAAAGCAAATAGTAGGACACAGTGGGGAGGAAAAAGGGGGGAAAGTGAGGGGGAGAAGAGAAAAAGAACAGACTTCCTTTGTTGCAGTAGAAGGAAGCATTAACATTGAACCTCAACTTTTTACTTTTCCATAATATTATAAACTAGCCATTTCTATAACAACAAATGAATTTAATCAGTAAAATCCAAAATCCCCCCCCTTTTTTTTAGTCATCAATTTTTGACACCTTGCTAAACACTGGTGGTACTCAAATATTGTCATGTCCTAAAAGTGGCACAATCTGTGAAAAGGTTGAAAAGCCCTGTTCTAGAAAACCCTGCACTGTGTGCTAAAACCACTCAACCTGAAACTTCATCCAGACCATATGCCCCCTCCCAAACCCTTTCACCAGTGCTGTGGAAGAAGAGCTGCTCCCAAGCAGTTTGGATGAAGCAGATGGTGTGTTGACAGTCTTAGCCTAAAATTGTGGTGAATGCCAAGCAGCAACAAATGACACAGTGCTTGTCAAAGTGCTTTCCAGACTGAATGATTCTGACATGCCTGCTGTAGGCAATCCTAAAAGCAGCCAGCTGAAAGCACTTCAGCCATCTTTGCAAAATCCCATTCCACATTATCGGCCTGAAGCAGCCCAAAGGCACTGAAATTACTTTGTTGAGATGAATCAGGTGGATTTTTCACAGGTTGAAGCAATCAGGTCATCGTTGCATCTCTATCTGATCATTTTGCATGAATCAGATAGGTGGATGGCAGACCACCTGAAAATCCTAGACCAAACACATTCGGATATCACAAAAATATCCTGGAAGAAGGCAATGACAAACCATTTCTGCATAAAGAAATTCAATGATGAATAGGAGCAGAAAAATTAAAATGATTCTTCATACTGCTTTTTTCTATAAATTCCTATGAATTGACATGAAAAATACCATAGCCCAACTTACAAAAAAAAAAAAAAACCCCACTGCAAAAGACAAACTAGAAACAAATATTAAAATAAGCAAGAAAAACGGTAAGAGAACACCTATCCGACCTTGACAAATATAAATCACCGGGGCCTGACAGATTACATCCCAGAGTTCTGAAGGAGCTGGCAGATGTTATCTCGGAACCATTGCACCATATCTTTCAAAAATCCTGGAACACTGGGGAAATACCTGAGGATTGGAAAAGAGCTGATGTGGTTCCCATCTTCAAGAAAGGGGGGAAAAACGGACCCCAGAAACTACAGACCAACCAGTCTAATATCAATACCTGGGAAGCTCCTGGAAAAGATAATCAAAAAACAGATCTGCGAACAACTAAAAGCAAACAAAGTTATAACAGGTAGCCAGCACGGGTTTGCCAAAAACAGATCATGCCAAACTAATCTTATTTCATTCTAAACTAATAGACCAGCAAAATACTGTAGATGTAGTATACTTAGATTTCACTAAGGCATTTGATAAGGCAGGCCACAATCTACTCCTTGGTAAACCAGAAAAAGGTGGAATAGACAACATCACCACCAGATGAATCTGTAGCTGGCTGGCAAACTGTACTCAACGAGTAGTTCTCAATGGCACTACATCCACATGGAGAGAAGTAAGCAGTGGGGTATTACAAGGTTCCGTCTTAGGCCCAGTACTCTTCAATATCTTCATAAATGACTTAGGTGAGGGAATTGAAGGGGAACTCATCACATTTGCAGATGACACCAACACCCCAGAAAGACAAACTCAGGATCCAAAAAGATCTTAACAAACTTGAACAATGGGCCCTATCCAACAAAATGAGTTTCAATGTGGAGAAAAGCAAAGTTTTACATTTAGGCAGGAAAAATCAAAAGTACAAGTACAGACTGGGTGAGACCTGGCTTAAAAACAGTAACTGTGAGAGGGACCTTGGAGTCCTAGTGGATGATCACTTGACCATGAGCCAGCAGTGTGCAGCAGCCACCAAAAAAGCTAATACAATCCTGGGTTGTATAAACAGGCATAGAATCAAGATCATGCGAAGTATTAGTACCGCTTTATAAAACCCCATTAAGACCACACCTGGAATACTGCAGCCAATTTTGGTCACCATATCACAAAAAAGATGTTGAGACTTTGGAAAAAATTCAAAGAGCAGAAATTAAGATGATCAAAGGCCTGGAGACTAAAACGTACGAAGAACGGCTACAGGACTTGGGTTTGGCTAGTTTAAAGAAAAGAAGAAACAGGAGCGACGTGACAGCAGTATTCCAGTATTTGAGGGGCTGCCACAAAGACGAGGAGGTCACGTTATTCTCCAAAGCACCAGAGGGCAGGACAAGAAACAATGGTTGGAAACTGACCAAAGAGAGAAGCCACCTAGAATTAAGGAGAAACTTCCTGACAGTGAGGACAATTAACCAGTGGAACAGCTTGCCTCCAGAAATCATGGGCGCTGGAGATTTTTAAGAAGAGGCTAGACAGTCACTTGTCTGAGATGGTATAGGTTCTCCTGCTTGAGCAGTGGGCTGGACTAAAAGACCTCCAAGGTCCTTTCCAGCTCTATTCTACTCTATTCTAATACGCTTACTTTTCAATACTAAACTATGAATATTTCTTGTATGAGAATATATTGAGCACTCTAGTTTTCAGAATGAAAAAGCAGTTTGAATAATTCGATAGTTACATATATGAACACCTATAGTTCAGTTGCCTGAGTTCTACAGATCTACAATTAATTTCTGGAGCTGTAATTACAGCTTCTAAAATTGCATCCTTTGTTCTGTTTAATCAGCCTTACACTGACAGTTTCTAACTTTTCTAATTAAGTAACTGTGGATGTCAATCAATAATTCCATCATAGTGATTTATGCCAGATGTAACATTCTTTATCAAAATAAATGTTAATCTATAAAACCATCAAAATACAAATATTTGTGTTTAATTATTTAACATTATGAAGAACACTGCAGGAGAATACAATACTAGACTGTTTACTGACATGTCCTGATGTCAGCATAAAGCATCCTTTCCAGAAAGGGAAGGCAGCTAATGCAGCAGTGGAAATAAGGCATGCTGTCAGTATAACCCTCTTGTCAAAATACATAGGAATGTTTTATAGAATGTTTTATATATAGTTCATGTTTATAAAGTATACACATGAACATGATTAATGAAACAATAGACAAGCAGAAAATGAATAGCCATGAAAAAAAAAACATATAAAGATTTTTTTCCTTTCAATGGGGAGAATGGTGTCTTGTTCTGGAATTATTGTTGGAAAATAATGATTTCAGGAAACTAAAAACTCCAGTAGATTATATATCCAGTAGCAAAATCACTTGATATACAGATTTAATATGTATGTATGAATGAATGAATGTATGCATGTATGTAAAGGTAAAGGTTTCCCATGTTCAGTTGTGTCTGACTCTAGGGGGCAGTGCTCATCTCTGTTTCTTAGCTGAGGGAGCTAGAGTTGTCCCTAGACTTTTCCATGGTCATGTGGCCAGCATGATTATATGCCAAGGCATATGGAATGCTGTTATCTTCCCACTGAAGTGCTTAACAGCCCTCTCTAAGTGATTTATAGACTCAACATATTTTCCCCAACAATCTGGGTCCTCATATATATACTGTCTGTATGTGTATGTGTGTGTGTGTATGTGTATATATATCTATATGTTGGATGGGGCACCCAGTCTACCAAATACAAAGCAATCTGTTCTGTGTTTCGCTTCAGTCTAGGAGCATTTTTTGCAGGCAGACATCACTACTGTGATAACTGTAAATTCAAAATTTTGTGGCTGACAAAGAGTTAAAGGGAGACTAGTATAGCTATTTCAAGCTCTTTAGCTCTCATCAGCTACTCATACCCCTCTGGGATTCGAACCTGGGCAGCTTGCATGTTACACAGCTGTATTAACCTCTAGGCCACAGGCTCCCCCTCACTCCTATCAGCAGTGTATGTGTGTGTGTGTGTGTATTCTATTTAAACCATAATTATTTACTGTTTTTAGCTTACCTTCATGTTGAACGTGGCATGGTTGCAGGAATGCAAGTGACCATAAAATGTTTGAGCACAAAGTCCCTAGGGGGAAAAAACAAGAAAGTTCATAAAAATCAGAAGACAAAAGTCATAATTGAACAAGCTGCAAAACATCATATAAAGCTAGGATTTGAATACGATATTTCTGTCTGGGAAACCAAGTCACTGGGAAAGAGAACAATAAAGTACTATCCTGATAAACACACCTGAATGAAATGTGATCTTTTTAAAAAATGAAATGGTACATCTCTTAATATAGTAGTTCCCATATTTATAGAGATACCATACATATAAGAAAATCTAGGATACTACATATACTGTACTTATTCAAAAATGAGTTTCAGTGAGGTCTATACTCAGTTCCAGGTACATATTTATACAGAAATGTTAACAGGTGAGAAATGTTATGCATGCTAAAATAAGGTAAAATAAATATTTACTTATTTCAAATAGAAATAAGAATATTTCTATTTCTCAATAACATATCTTTAATATTTGTTATTTGTTGTGACTGGAGATGCACCAGATTGGTTGCATTATGTTAAGGTTGGATTAGTAATTTTAGTTCTGTAGAAGTTCTGGTCAAGTTGTTAGTGGTCTTAAGTTGTTCTGATAATTCCCAGGAAGGTGATTTAAGATAAATTGCTATTCCATTTTTTTTTGTTTTTATTTTTCCATATGTTATAAATTCTTGACTTAACTTTTTCTTTTTTATAACAGATTGACATGGTCTTATTTTATGTATATCTCTTGTAAACACACAACTTGTTGAAAATTGTCCTTTTGCTGGCTAAATTAATTCAATTTACATTAGATATGATTAATGTTGTTTTTTTCCACTTTAATTGTGATTTAGTATTAATTTAAAGCTGCAGCCATACTTAGTTTCCCATCTTCTTTATTTCCAATTCCTTTTTTTTTTTACTAGAAAGCTCCTTATCCTGAGCAGTGCGTATGAACATAAGGGACAAAAGGAAGGGGGAATAAAGCAAAGTCAAACTTGCAAGATTCTGTTACTATAGCCAATAGTACTGATAGTTTTAGTCTTCTTGTGGAGTTGTTTTCTTGATTTGATCTACATACTGTAAGTGAGGCTAACATCAATCATGCAGAGCTAACTGTGCGTTACTTCTCTCCCCCTCCCTCCCCCATAGTCATGTGAATTAGNTGCCTGAATTGCTTGTGTATACCTTCTTCTTGTTTCAGACTTAAGCCACGTTTTCCTCCTTGTCATTTTGGTAAGAGATCTGACATATCATTATCAAGATCATCTTCCTTACTCTTTACATGCAATCAGTTCCTTTCTCTATCTCTTATCCCTGTACTTCAGCATTGAACTATTAGGAAAATGAGTCAAAATAATTATATTTGTAAACTCCAGTAAAGCAGTTGCTGTTGTACAATCCAGTGCATAGCAACAATAATCCAATGGTTTATTCTTTCAGGGATGTTTTAAATCAGTGGTCCCCAACCTTTGCAGCTTGGTGGCCTGGCTGGGGGTGGGGCGAGAGGGGAACCAGGCCCGCGCTGCTTGTACGAGTTACATGTGCATGGACGCCAGCCCACCGCACAAGCAGTCTGGTTCCGAATAAGCCATTACCCGGTAGTGGGCCAGGGCCCAAAGATTGGGGAACCCTGTTTTAAATCATCCTGTCAAAGAAAATAGAAAAGAAAAAAAGCAGGGGAGTGGAGTTGGCAGTGTCAAGAGTCTGGCAGTAAACTTTGAAGAACAACATTTGTGTGGATGTTAGATGGTGGAAAAAATGGGCTGGGGGAAACCAAAAAATCTCCTGGCTGTGATTTCTTAGCTTAACTCATGACTTAGATGCCTAGAAGTTAATAAAAGCACCACAAACTCCAGAGTAGGACAAGAGAAGACAGTAGGTGCCATTGCTCATCTCCACAATTTGAAGATGCTTTGGGACCCAAATCTAATTTTCTAATATTTACCAGCTCATTTGACATCCTTAAACAATCCCATTCTGAAAGAAAGTCTCTTAAAAGCCTTCTGTAAAGGCTACAAACCTTTAGGCTTGATTACAGTGATGTGATTTATGTGTAGTTGTCTGTATATCTGATCCAGAAATTTCAGTTGGTACAAAATCCAGCAGCCAGATTGGACTTCGGAAGCATGCAAAGAAGCCAGCTGGATCCATGTGTAAAGTATTCCACTGGCAAAATATAAAGGGTCGGCTATTACTTTTAAAGCTAGTTCCAGTTTATTTAAGAGGATTTTCTTTTTTTTCTTTTTTTTAAAAAACTGTTTTTATTCCAAACCAACTTTCTACTTGGTAACATAATAACTAAAACAACACAAAATAAAAAGAACTCTAGGAGCAGCTAGAGGGTAATTTGTGTTGCTTCAGCATGTACCTCCTCAGGGCTGTGAACTTTCAGAAAAGAAGAATCTTATTCATTAATCCATTAGTTCCTGAACAGAGACTATTCCTGGAGATGCAGCTAATTATACTGCAGAAAGTAGAAACAAGAGGATGACACCCTCCCTTTAATTTAGCTCAGTCAGCTATTGTTGCTCAATCTGTATGAGCAGATATAGAAGCTCTGCAGTAGGACAGTTTATCAAGTGAAAGTGAGAAGAAAATGGCCGCGGAAGCGCTGCTTCTTTCTAACAAAAGGAAAACTTTCACTTTCTTTCCGGTTGTAGAATGATGCATTTTAAAGGACTTTAAAGAATTTTTCTTAAGTCAAGCTTTTTTAAGTTTATACTTGCTGTTGTGAGTTTTAAAAATAATTTGGCAGAATGGCTTCAAAACGTACTGGAGTTTCTGCATTGCCTAAAACAGCTATTTCTTCTCCTGTTGTGCAAATTCAACAACAAAAACCTAGATCTCCCCCACCATCACCTCCTCCTTCCATTACACTTAAAGATCTACAAGAGGCTTTAGCTAAGTTCTCATTGCAGACTGTGAAACAGACAGAAGAACTTTTGGATAAGAAAAATCAGGAACTTTGTGAAAATATATCACACATCTTTCAAGGACTAGCAGTTCATATTGATCGTATAGAGGGACGGGTGGATGAATTAGTGGAGAAAATGGAAGGAACAGAGGACAGACTTGAGAAAGTAGAAGAAGGCGTGGAAATTCTTCAAAATGACATGGTAATGTCACAATACAGAGAAATGGAATTTGCTCTGAGAATGAGGGGTCTTAAGGAGGACTTACAAGAGAAACTTAAGGAGGAAATTGTTACAGCTTTGGCCCTGGTATTGAATTGCAACCCAGAGGTGATTTGTGGAGAAATAGAAAATTTTTTTAGAGTAAATTCCTGGGTTGCACGTCAGAGAAATATACCTAGAGATGTAGTTGTTTACTTTACCACAAGAGTACGTCGTAATGAAATTATACAGCTTTTTTATCAGCAGAGATTTCAAATTGCTGCACAAGATATTATACTTTTAAAAGAAATACCTTCTAAGATTTTTAAGAAGAAGAAAAGACTTTACTTTTTTGGCTCAGGAGTTAAAGAAGCGGCAGATGCCTTTTAGATGGGAGATTCCTTTGGGCATTGTGGTAAATTTTGCGGGGACCAGATACAGATTAAATTCTGTTCAAAAAGCTAAAGATTTTTACCTGTCGGTCCTGAAAGCTGATTTGTCACCATCATCGACATTTAAAGCACAGGAAGATTTGATGGAGCAACTTGTTGTGGAATTGCCTGGGGCCATGTCATTATCTGCAGGAGATCCTCAGAATCAACAAAAGTTGGGAGTGAATTCAAAGGAGCAAAGAATGACCCATGCTGCCTATAGGCGTAAAGAGAGAGAGCAACAACAAAAAGAAATTGTATCTATAACATATTCACCGACTTCGGAGCCAGTGGGAGGGGCGAGGCCAAAGAGATCTGCAATGACAGACTTGCAGGGAATGCTCAATAAACTTCATAAGCCAAAGGATGGTTAAGTTGATGACGCTGAATGTGAGACTTTATTATGGAAAAGGAAGAAATTAGTTTAATATTTGAAATAATATAAAAAGGATTATATGTTTGTAAAGAACTTATAGTATTCTGAACGATTTAAAATATTTGATAAATTTAAGATTGGGATTTTATTTTACTTTTCCAGCTTTGAAGAAGGAAGTATTGATTTAAGATTTTCTTGAAAGTATTGACTTGAGAGTGAAGAAAGTGAAGGAAAAATTTAAGTGTAAAATTTAAGAAAAAAATTATATAAGATGTTTGATAGATATTTAGATTTTTAAAAACTGTTTTGAGCTTAAATGTTGAAGGTGGATAGATTATATTTAGAGAAAGTATGGAGTGAATAAATATCATATAGTTTTTGAGTAGATATATTGTTTTTACTTATTGCTTTATTAGAGTTAAAGTATGTATATATTGGTTGTATTATGTTTGTTTAGTTAAATTGTAATTTAGAGACGGAATGGGATGTGTTTTAGTCCTGTATTTGGTTCCGGGAAGTCCAGGGGGGGAAGGGGATTGGGGGAATTATAAAAATTGATGTATTTACATGTTATAGGTAAACAATAATTGTATTGACAAAAGGAGATGCTCGGCTGGTATCCCAAATTGCACTCGATGAGGTGGTTAGAAAGGTGATGGGATGTAGGTAGGTGGAAAGGAGGAAGGAGGAGAGGTTGTGGGTTAGAGGGAGGAAGGATAGGAAAGTGAATGAGGGTGGAGGCAAGGCGGGGACTGCCGAGCATTTCCGAAAATGTATTGATTTGGATTATTTTTTTTTCTGCTTGTGTATGTAAATGCATCATATTGGTATTTGTTGTTTAATTATAAAAATCAATAAAAAATTTATTAAAAAAAAATCTTACAGATAAACAAAAAATAATAATAATAATAGATTTGTAAATAGTCAAAAAGGTCAAATACTTGGGAATATATTTGACAGCAAGATGTTCAACAATAAAAGAAGATAATTACATTAAATTGTTAAATCAAATAAAGCTTGATTTGGAAAAATGGAAGAATCTTCAACTGTCGATGTTAGGAAGAATTGCTATGGTGAAAATAAATATATTACCAAAAATACTATTTTTGTTTCAAAC